GGGGTCGTTACCTGGGACAGCCCAGACATATCCCAAGTGTGGTGGGACACTGGGACCCTCTGTAAACCTCACACATACACACTAGGCTGCTAGTTCCACTTTTAAGGAAAGGACTTTGGGTTGYGATGGGGGAAAAACAGTGCTTCAGAGGAAATGAAAAAAAATCTCACCAGGGTCTTAGTAAAGCAAAGCACCCCCAGGTCCTTTTGAGTCTACCTAGAGCTGCTTCATCTTGCCTGACTTTAAAAGTTTCCCTCTCAACTGACTTAGCCCTTTGGAAAGTCTTTTCTTAAAACAGGTGCAGGAAATAATTTCAGTAAGTGGTTCTCCTGGAGGAAGAAATGGGTCACTCTGGAGAACCTGAAGCTGGACACACAGCAAAGCACATCCATCCTCAATATGCGGATACCAGATGTTAAACAGCCACTCCACAGGCTGCTGGGTTTTCTTATCCATAAGTCTGCTCCAGGCAAATTTATTCCCTTCAAGGAAACACAGAAAGTGCCTCTTCCTGTAGATCGCTGAACACATATATAAGTTTGATTTTCCACRTCACAGTCACTTCCAAAAGGCAGAACTGAAAATACCTACGGTGGCCAACCCATCTAGAAGAATTAGTGAGATACCACTTGCTTTTTACCTCTAGCAATACTGCCAGGGTGACACCCTGGTGCCTCAGTGATGGGAGCCGAGGTGCAGTTAGCCAGGAGGAGGCTAAAATCCCGTTTAACGGGTCATGCCTTGCACCAGTTTACAGCCAGAGCCCTGCGGAGCCGTTTTGTTCCACGGGGTTACAAAGCAACGATCACACGAAGATAAAATAAAGCAAAATAAAGCAAAATAAACCGTAGTTTTCGCTCCCTAACGCGAGTTTTACGGCGCGTTCCCGCGACCGCCTCCCCTCCCCTCAGCGCGCAGCACCCCCAAAATGGCGGCGCCCGCGGCCCGTCACGTGAGCCCGGCTCAGAGACAGTTGGGGTCCTGCCGCGCGGCCGCCCTTCCGCTTGCCTGACTGATCTCCCTCCTCGAGGACAGGGCGCGGGCGTGTGGGTGGAGATACTCAGCGAGGCCGGGCAACGGCAGCCGTTGGCTTCTGCCACAATTCCCCTCTTTTTTATTTTTTCCCTCCCCCCCCCATACCGTGGGGCTCTGTCCGGGGCCTGGCATCAGGCGCGGCGCGGGGCAGCCGAGTACGGCGGCCGGGGAGGGCCACGGGCGCCGGCATGGCGGCGGCGGCGGCGATGGCGGCCGGCCGGGCCTGCGCCCAGGGCGTCCTCCGCGCGGCCTGGCGAGGTGACGGGGGCGGGGGAGGCGGGAAGAACGGCCCGGAGCGCGGGGGGGACTTGGGCGCCCTGTGGGGCAGCCCTCGCGAGCCTTCCCGTTCCGTTTCCCTCTGCAACAGCGAGGGTAATCGTATCGGTGTTAAGATAAACGGAATGAGGAGGTGTTCGCTGTAGATTCACTGCTTTTTCTTCTCTCTCTCTCTCTTTAATTTGTCCCATTCATCAGCACGCCTTTCTTCCTAAGTTTTAATCTCAGTTCAGCTTCCAAAGTTCAAATATATCGTTCCTAAGGCTTAAACTATACATAGGGGAAAGGGACAGCACTTTATTTTTTTTTAATGTATACATGAGAAACAATCCTGTATAACTGAAAGCTGCTGCTGAGGGCCATTTTSAGAAAATACAGTTAATTTTGGTACRRGTTTTACACCTCATTTGGTCCGCGGTCGGCACGCTTSTCCTAGGAGAGTACTGAGATGCTCRTTACACAGTGCTTTAGAGCAGTGAGTATTCCCGAGATATTCCCGAGCCTTAAGGCAACGTAGATGTAGTTGCTGCACAGGCCTTGCGTTTGTAAACCCAAATAGTGTTAGGTGAGTTCTCCTGGGAAGCAGCTGCCACCAGGAGGAAAATTCCCCTTTAATCCTTCTTTTTCCTACGCGCTGGTTGTAGCTTTTGGGTTCACTAGGGGACACCAGGGTAGCCCATGGCAGTTGGACAGCCAGCAAGTTTGCATCCCGTGAGCGGGTTCTGATGACAAGTTTTACACACTATTGGAAACGGTTCCAGGCTAAAACATATGTGCTAGAGAGACTGGTCGCTTTGGGATGCACTTCTCACTCTTTTCTCTCATTTTTTTTTTTTTTTTTCTTTTTTTTTCCTTTTCTCCTCAATGTGACTTCAGTCATCAAAGAGTCAACTCGAGCAATGAGCTGCTTCAGACCCCGTTTATACACTTTTATGTAGGTGGACCTGTCTCAGCATCGTTAATGCAGCACAGTTAGTTTTGATGTGCTTAAATTCTAGGCAAAGGAAGAAAAATCAAAAAATAACAGCAGTACTCCTTATGTGTCCTCTAGGGAAACGGTTTCTAAGTAGTAATCGTTGCTAGAGACTTATGGTGTTCAGGAAGGTCAGATTATATTGCTAAAAGAACACCTAGAAGCTGGGCACCATTTTTGCACTCACAGGAGGGTCTGCTTCTTTTTCTCTCCTGCCCTCCAAGCCAAAACAAGATTTGATTCCTTTGAGCTTTTGTAGTTCTCGGAAAACTTCCTTCCCTTCCTCGGCCAGGAAATAAAACAATGCAGTTCATGAATTTCTGGGCTCTTTTGTTCCTCAGGGGGATATGGCATGAAGTAGTGCCCATTCTCTAGCCAGTGTGCAGTCCGTGTCTTGGCTGTCGGCATTTGAAAACAGGCCAGAGGTGTTTTGGTGCAGAGAAACATTTTCCATGTTCAGTCAAAACATTTCTCCAACAATGAGAAAGCACCATTATCATTTACTGCAGACAGACCAGGAAAAACGGAATGCTTCAGCTGCTTTTAAGGCATTTAAGTAATCTGTGCATTTGCAGATGTGACCCTCTAAGACTTTCTGATATGCTTACTTAAATGCTTAAGTGTTCCACACTTACTCTTGGTAGATAGGGATCACCTCCATATGTCTTTTTTTAATACATTTTTTAGGTTCAGGAATTAAATGAGTAACAGATATGACTGTTTTTCCAAACTAGCCAGAGATTTTTAATAAAATTGATATSAGTGTTTGATTGATCGATTGATTTCCTCACTTGACGGGCCTTGTGACGGGCCTTTCAAACACTTATGATATAAGAAATACTAGCCATTCTGAAATAGCTGCCCTGCTGTGACATCCATACGATTAAGTTATTCCGTGCAATAATTTTTATTTGAATTCTAAAAATCAAGCAGAATGTTAACCAGAAAACCCTAGGCAAAAACAAATAGTTATTGCCAAGGAAATGTTAGGTTAATAGCACTTTATCTTCACAACTGCAGACTTGGAATTTAATCAGAACATCTCTGTTTTCTTGTAAATTAACTTTTTAAGAAGGTTGTGATTATTTCAGGCTAGAGCTTCCCATTTGTGTGCCTGGAACTACAGCCAGGCAATTTTTTCCTAAGCTCTAATTATAACCACACAATACACTTCTCAAAGACTTTTTTTTTTAAGAGTTTTTTTTCACGATGCAGTTCTCGCTGCTGAAACTAACTTCATGCAGCATTTCTTTTGCTCAAGTACAGAACTGGCCAAGAACATTTTTCTGTATTTAATTTCTGTTGAAAATAATTACAGGTTTAAGGGTATTATTAAATTGCTCCCAGTTGTTTAAAACAAAACGTGAATCGAACTTGCTGAAGTTTGATTGTTCACTGGTAAATACATTGATGTTCAGTGTGTTTGCTGTCTTTGAAGATGTTAGGTGCTAAAGAAAGCAAACTAATTTGTGCTGATTTGGGGCATGGCATGTGGTAGCAAGTGCTGCACCCTCTACGTAAATCTCCTAATGTTGGTGAGTTAAACCAACATTTACCTGAAGCGAATTTGAGGAAAGTTAYAATGAAATGAGTGCAGCCAAACAGTTGTCTTGCATTGTGAGCTGGAGGGAGTGTTGGAAAAAACCTTACCAGAACCAATTTTTAACCATTGAAGCATGACMGTTAAAATCCATACAAGGTTTTAATTGCTGTAATGTTTATAGCCAGGAAACGTGTACACTGAGGAGTTAATTTTCCTTTAGTGCAAAGTAGGACCTTTATATAGCAAGCAGGTGCTTTTTTTCTGCTCTGTTGACTTGTCCTTTGCTGGTGGCAAGACACGAATCCTGCACTCGTGACGTGCCTTGCTCTTACAGGTCTCTTTAGCACTAATTCACTTTTGAATGGCTTACGATAGGGAAGATGCTARATTTTCAATTCAAAACCTGTCACGGGTGGTAGTGTTTGGAAGAATTATAGGAAATGGAGGGTATGATGCATTAACTGAAACCTGCTCACATGTCACAGTGCTGTTTTACTGAGATATGGCATTTCAAACTGCTTGCCTTCCATAAATATTTTTATTCTTTGCCTTCAAAGTGTCTATTCCCTTGGTAGCAGTATGTGCCTAGCAGTGTGTGGGTACACTATTAAATACCAGCTCTTGGTGTTTGAGGCTTTGGGGATCGTGTTTCCCTGGTGCATCTTCCTCCTCCACCTCTTGTCCTATTCAGGGACCAAAACTGTCCTTCTCCTGGTGGCATATGGTCACCACAGCCCCTGGGCTTCCTTGGGCACGTAAGTCTGATTTCCATGCTCACAGCTGGTGTTCTCTAGCTACAAGTCTTAAAAATATAAGTTGCTTTTCTGGTAACGCTCTATTTAAAAAAGATTAAATCTTTATAGAAAATGTTAATAGGAGATTTGTCATACTTCCCAGCGAAAGCAAGATCTCGCCCAAGATTTTCAGCAGCTTGTTAYGAATTTCGATACTCTAATTTTGTAGTCCGTTTTAACATGGCATTGGATCAGAAGACTTCTTGAAATTACTTGGAGGTGTTCTGACCTTTTTTATACAACACTAATATTTATTTGGCTTCCTTTTTTTTTTCTTTTTTTTTTTTTTTTGACATTTGACTTTTTCTCCTCATCTGTGCCCCAGCTACTCTATCAAAATTCTTTTTCTGTAGCAATTGCTCATCTGATTCCATTGTCTCTTGATTCTTCTTAGTGTTGTCATTTTCTCCAGACTTTATTGTCTCCAATACCTTCATATTTACACCGTCGTTTCAGAAGAAGCTGGATTGGTATCTACTATATGCATTTTTTTTTTTTTTGTAATGAACATAGGAATAAAAAAAAAGGCAAATTTCATTGCAAACACTTTTGACAATGAACTAAACTAAATACACTTATATTTGTAAGAAACTTTAGGATGTGATTTCCTAGTACAGGACCATGAAAGGATCTAGCAGCTTGGCTGCTAGAAGTGCTCATGACCAATGCAAACAGAGCAGTGACTTTCTCCAGGCATGTCCAGTTGGCCACAGAATCTGGCACAGACCACTCGTCTTGTTCCTGATAATAAGCTTCGTCTTGACCAGCCATTTATGCAGTTTTAGCTAATATAAAAGTGTTTCTCCAATCGATAATATGAAAAAGACAAGCAGGATATAAGAGCATGCAGAGATGACAGGGGCGAAATTAATTCTTTGCATCATGGAGAGAAGAAGATGAAACTAGGAGATTTCCACGTGTTGCCCGTAGTGGTGGTGCTGGCGTGGAGCTAGAGGATTTCTTTTTAATGAAATTAAGTGACTGTGTGGGAGGTTATGGAACAAATACACAAGATGAACTTTAGTAGACCTCCAGGGTCAGACACTTTTCACATACTAATTCTAAGAGCAAGGRTGAAAAAGCTGAATTGTTCATAGTATTTTGTAGCTTCTGCTTTGAAACTTCCTTGGTAGCTGCACTGGCAGATAGTAGTGGAATACCAGTTTAAAAGAAAAGCTTCTGGAAGAGATGAGGATCAAGAAGACTATGCATGCCTTCGGTAACGGAGAGTTCTTCCTTACAAATATGTTAGAGCTCGTGTGGTTTTGTTTTTTCTCCTAAGAGATTCACAAAGAAAAGGCTTAACCAACCTGATTCATTCCACGAGATTTCAGAGTGGGCTTTTGTAGAGTCCCTCAGCACAGGCTTGTAAAAAGTTTATCAGATGTGGAGATGATGAGATCCTGATGATGAGATCCTGATGAGATGATGAGATCCTCGTATGGATAAATAATTGACTGAAAGGCAGGAAAGGGGATCCGCACTCTTTTGATGGAGTAAAGGTTTTCTGCTCATAAACCCTCAGAGAGAGGAGGTGAGCAGCAAGATAACTCATTTTGCTGCAGATTTGAAGTTATTTGAAGCCTAAGAGGGAAAGGCTGATTGTGGAGAGTTGCTGACAGACCTTAAGAAGATTGAGTGGGTCGGCAGTGAATTGGTGAATGAATTACGGTATAGATAAAGTGATGAAGAATGCCTTAATATCCAACAAGCTAAATTAAAATTGAAGAAGACTGATAGAAAGGTGAGAAGGGTCAACAGAAGCAGTGTAGTAACCACTGCGCGGGACAGGACTTCTCTCGTAATTCTCCCAGAAACTCTTTGTGTCATTAGCCTGAACCGATACATCTGTTCTTAAAATTCTCAAGCAAGGTCATTTTTTTTCTAGGAAAAAGTGTAAAGAACCAGATGTATTAAGTCTTTCTTGGCAATTATTAGTAGATGTGCTTGTCTATGTAAACAGATCACGTCCAGGCCTGCAGGAAGCATATGACGTGTAACAAGGGGGGAAAAAATAATCATGATACTTGTGGTCATGTTCCAGGTATGACAAATTCATAAATAGAATGAATAGAAATTCAAAGAAGAAGATAGGGTGCAATTTTGCTAGTTGTTTTGAAGTAATCTTCAGCTGTAGGCAGTGAAAGGATGTAACAAGAGAAATTACGAATGCAGCCACACAATGCAAATTTAAATTACTTTGCAGATAATTGATTTGGAAAAAGTTTCTCTAATTGCACATGTGATTCCAAAAAAGGGCAAGTCTATTGTAATTTTTATAAACAATTGGTCTGAGCTGAACGCATCGTTTAATCTTGCAGATTGATAACTTGTCATTAAAAGCCCGTTATGAACACAAAATAGCTCAAGAATTGTGTGCTTGTAGGTTTAGTGTTAACATTAGCTATGTACCCTACACAAAGTTCTATATTGGGGTGACTGCTAGTTCAGTTTTGAAATAAAAGGAAGCATTTGAATGGTGCCTGGTGTATTGTTTGTGGGTGTTACATGCTACGACTCTAAATGGTTTCTATTCTCTTTGAATTTAACCAGACACTGGTTAAATAAAGATTTAAGAAYGTTTTTCTTCTTATTTTGGTGTCTTTGTTTTCAGGTTGTTCTTTATTTCCTGAAATTCAATAATTTTCACACATTTTTTTCATAATGAAGTTTTATTATCTATTCTACCTTTTTGATAGGAATGAAAGAAGATAAATTTGTGTTATAAATATTATTCTAACTGTTTCCTTGAGAGAAATTTTTAGAATTTCCTGCTTCGTTACCCCAGTTAACTGAATTATTTGTTATTTGCCTAAGAGAAGGTCCTATTCTAACTTCAAAAAAACGGCCTGTTGTTTTATTGATAATAGATCTTAACAGAACAGAAGTCATACATATATTTTGCATTTAAAGGCTAATTTAAGCGATTGAATTTAAATGTCTTTCCTTTAGGAAGAAGTAGATTTTTTTTTTTTTTTTGTATTTACAATACAATTTCTAAATAACAAGCTGAGCTGTTATTTTCAAGACTCCAAGAGTGTATATAGCCTTTTTTTTTAGATTCTTGAATGCGCGTATTGTTTGGATTGATTATTATGTAGGTGGTAAAAATACTGATTTGGGATAACTCTTGTTCTCAGTTCTAAAGAAAAAACACTCTGTGCCAGGCAATAACTGAAAGTATCTTGCTTTCATTGATGTAGGTAAGCCCCAGTTGTAATATGTTTCTGTTGGCTAAAACAATAGCATATTTGTAAATCTTAAATGAAAAAAAAAAAAAAACTTTAATTATTTAGGCAAAGATGTTACACTCTTCAGTAGGTTGATTTCCTGGTGCATAGAATATTTGGTGATGTGTTTATTTATCCCTGTTGATTGCATTCGGGAGTATTATTGCATGTTTTGCTGTTAGGAGAATATTTCTCCCTTTAGAGGGTGGTTTCTCACTGTATCAGCAGTATGTTAGTAGCCTTTTGGCTTGTTTCTGTTTGTGACATTTTCTCTTGCGATGTTGTTCCCCCCTACTGTAACTTCTGTTTCAAGACAGAAGGTGTAAATCTAATTCCCTTTAGAAATTAAACTATATGAGTAAGTGTTCTTTTTTTTTTTTTTTTTGCCTGTTCAGTATATTTGAGGGGAATATTATTTTCCAAATGAAAATATTCTGTGTCATAACACCTGCATGTCTTCGTCCTCAGGGTTTACTTCTGTGCCGAGGCAAGGGAGCTGCTGTTCCTATTCTAGCCTGGCATGGGCTCTGCAGACACAGTGTTCCATCTCYGTCGCCCGGAGCGTGACAGTAGAGCAACGCAGACGAAGCAGTTTCTTCAATACGTGTAAGTCTCGAGTTGGGTTGCAATTAATATCTGAAAAAAAAAGCAAAAGAGGGATGGTAAACTTTGCTTTSGTCAGGCACAATCACGATATCTATATATAGTAATTTTTCTTTCTTCAGTTCCATATCTTGTGCCACTGACAGATTTGAATGCACAAGGTCAGCTTATTTTAATAGCAAGCGAGGCTTCATCTCACAGTGAATACATTTATTGAAATTATAAGTTGTATGTTTATTTTCCAAATGCTTTTTGAGCTAGAGGCAAGACATGCTATTCAAGCTGCGCTGTCTCAAAAATGAGCTGATTAAAAAACAATAAGGGGCTAAACAGAAAGTGTTGACAATGTCCTGCTAATTGTCTGCCCAGCTGCAGTGTTATCCTCCGTTCCTGAAAGGCGTTACATAGATGCTTAACGTAATTGAGAAATTATGACTGTTTAAATTCCTGCTCGGGACTATGAACCGAGATAGCTGAGGGGCAGATCCTGCAGCTGTTTCACAGTTCCCAACCTGTGGTAGTTTCTCATGAGGGAACGGAAGGAGCAGGAACATCTCTGGCAGAGATAACTGCAACAGTTTGAGCTCTCTGACTTTCTATAAGGCATAGAGCACAAGAGCTCTGTTAGAACAGACTTGCAGAACTGACATTTTTTTTCTTAGCTTCTTGATGYTGGGTAGAAATCAGTACATTTGTTTTCCTTTTATCTTCTAAGCTAAAGGGCTTTCAACAGTCACGCTGCCTCTCTGTTCCCTTTACTCGGTAAACTTGACCATTTCAAGCCAACTCAAGGATGATAAGATCTTCAAAGACCAGCAATAGGCCACAACATGAACCAGGGAAAAGAATCTTTCTATGCAAAAAAAGATTTTATAGGCATCTCAATAGCAGAAAAAAATCAATTGGGGCTTTCTCTTAGGCACCCAAGTAGTCACAAAATAAGAATCTAAGTTAAACACAGTTATTTTGTTTATCTTAAATTAAAAGTGTAGCACTGCAAGTCAGTGCAATGTGGTTATAATTTATAGGTTAGATGCTTTCTTTATGCTTCTGTTCATATTCATAAAGGCCAGATGAGGTCTGTTTTACCAGGAGTTTTGCCAGCTATCATTTCCCTTGTTAGATGACTGCATTCAAAACACTTGCTGCAATAACATCCTATTGTTTGACTTAATAGCMTTTTAAGCAAGCTACATTTAGACAAACTACATGGAACTACTAACTTTATTTAATAACAGCTTGCAAGAATTTAAGTGTACCTAATTTATATGTCCACCAGATACAGTAGCCATCAGATATGAAAGATATGAAAGAGTTTCGTGCTTCAAAGTGCTGTTCTGACTCAGTTTCTTYATAGAAATCAGTCTGTGGTTTTGTTTGTTCTTTAAAAAAACCCCAAAACTGTGGACAAAACAACATGATGCCATCATTTTTAAAGTGCTGCGCTACTTCATTTTGTAAGCTATTGGTAGGCCATTTTGTTAAAAGGGCAGCTTGTAAAAGTGTGTTGGACATAAACTTGGTTCTTAAGAACCATTTGCTGCTTCTCGAAGCAATCAAGCAAGCTGGATAAATAAGAGATCCCACAGGACTGTAAAGAGCGGAGTAATTGTTTTTTCTTTGTTCAATTCATCATGCGGTTCATTTGGAAATGTAAAATTATTCTATTGATTTCAAGCATGAGCCAACTCTACAGAGTCCCCATACTAATAAGGTAATGATATATGGAGTGTACAGTGCTACTCTTTCAATTATGATTACTCTCAAACTTTTACTGTTCTTTTTCCACATGGATGCATGCACTGGAAAAAAAATATGCTGCTGAGTTGAAAAAGCAGCAAAGTTTTGTTTGGTTCATATGTAGCTTTCCACCTGTGAGCATAAATTTAAGTCTCAACCCAATGTGTGTTGCCTCGACGAGGCTGAGGGTTTTGGGGGCATTTTTGGGCAGTGTTTTCTGAAGGATATTTGGGAGCACATGAATCAGAAGGGTTGATGTCAGAGAAAAGATACGTGCTGCAACGGGCCATGGACAATTGTGCTTTGGAAGTATCTGGAAAGAATGTTTAAGTGCTGAGGGTGGCAAACAGGAGCTGTGTTTGTGTGAGGGGAAAGTAATCTGGCTTAGTGCCTGGAGAGAGCACCCAGGTGAGGAACTCCCTATAGCCGATCCCTGTGGAGTATCCCTGGGGAAGAGGGGGACATTTAAATGGATGTTGAGGCCGTGGCAGAGCAATGACTCAGTTCTGTGGGTGCTGAGAGGAAGGGAAACTCAGGGATTTTATCGACCTGACCATAATTTAGGTATTAAAATTTGTGGGGCAGACTTGTTTGCAGAACATTTGAGGCCTGTGCTGGTTTTATCTTCGCTGTTGCCTGTTTGCTTTTTCATTTTACAGTGTTTTCTGCCACTGCAGTTTTCACGCTATTCTCTCGGGTACAGTTTTGTGCTCCATCCCAATGATACTAATGGTGAGACAACAAAAAGGCAACGGCTTTGCCTTGTCTGCCAGAGTCCTTTGACCAGTTTGCTCCATGGATGGCTGTCCCTCTGCTCCGACTCGTGCGTGAAATTGCACCCCTGTAAAGCTTCCTTGTGATGGTGCCCATCAGCATCACTGTCTCCTGCTCATGTTGGTCAGTCACCTTCCTCTCCACCGCATCTCTCTCCTTTTTGCATGTCGTGAGGTTGTTAGCCCCTTGCTGTTATGTTTGGGGGGGTTTTATTTTATTCTATTTTATTTTATTCTATTTTATTTTATTCTATTTTATTTTATTCTATTTTATTTTATTCTATTTTATTTTATTCTATTCTATTTTATTTTATTCTATTTTATTTTAAATTCTGTGAAGCCTTCTTTCTTCTCCAGAAAAGCTCTCAAAGGCAAAGAGGTTGTTTTTGGTAATATTTTGATGGAAGGCTGAGCGTTTCATAACTGCTTTTCTTGCTGAACTGTTTTCCCCTTTTTTTTTTTTTTAAACTGGCTAGCGTTCTTTGAACAGTTAAAAAACTTCAAAATTCAAATGAAGTAGAATATTAGCTATTATAAATCACATTATGGCACTCATGTTCCCCAGCAGTGGAGTTGTTTCAAAAGAACGGCAGCATTAAAAGATGCAGATATGACCGTTTTATATGAAGCAATTTTCAAGTGATATGTCACCCAAACGACAGTCCTTCGGAGCGAGGAGGATGACAGTACTGTTTTATCTCATTACAGAAGGTTTATTTCTCTTCCATCATACTCTTAAAGATGTTAAAGTCTTCTTGTTAGGGGGGTCATCTGTACCTTCAGCTTGACCTTTAAAATAGTTGAACTCATTTAAAGAGGAGGAATTGCAATTATTCCAGGCAGCCCGTAGTCCTTATCCGGGAGCTGGCTCCTGCACTCCAACAGAAGTGTACACAGGGGGTTGTTCTTGTCCAATGGCACGTATCAGTGAGACTGTAATGAAGTAATTCAAACTGATCTTGTTATCAAAGGCCTCACTCTGGCCCTTCTTCCCACTCACCCGCTATGAGAAGCAATTAGGTTTACAGTCTCTGAAATACTTGGGGATTTCACATGCTTACTCGGGGGTATTATGGACAGGCTTGATTTTTTCAAGCTGTATTGAATATCTTCCTATGATAAATCTTGCCTGCTTTTCCAGGGTGTCTAAACAGACCTGGCATGTGCAAATAGCATCTTATTTGTGCCTGCTTCAGTCCAAAATCTGTCTGAGGGAATAGGGCAGGTCTGAGTTCCCTGCCTCTCAGTGTATCTATATGTTTTCATGTGCATACATATAGGCTAGTAAATCCCACTCATCCAGACCTTCTGTACAGATACTAAATCTTTCTCTGACAACCTTTGACAAGCAGTGATAAAAACGACAAAAAAACCCACAGTTGTATCTGTTTCACGGCAGAAGTATGCGAGGTATGGTCACTGTTTTAACCACAGATTTGGCTTGAAATGCAGGGGTCGTCATTGTGGAGGGCAGCAGAGACACGTGGACATGTCATGAATACTGAAACGGCTTCACTTGGCCCCAGAAGGAACATCAGGCTGCTGGGGAGAGTTATATCTGCACGAAATAGCTTTGTCCCCAGTCATCCGAATTCTGCAGTGATACCCATCAAGCACAGTTTCCTCAGCATCCATTAGGTATCCAGCTGTAGGCAGGACTAACAAACTTTTATGTGCAGCTGTAATTATATCAAAGTTATGCTTTCCTGCTTGATGTATCAATTGCATTGATTACACCTGGGACCACATAAAAAGGAAGAGCTTAAGTTCTTTGTTGCTAGATTATGTTTCCTGTTAGGTTAGGGGGTGGACTACAGGGGACGGTCACTTTGCAGAGCTTTTAGACTAAGTTTGTAGCAACCAGAGGGGGAGCGTTCATTTAGGATCATTAGAGGGAGATCATTTAGGCCAGCAACGTAAAGTCACAGTCAGGAGTAACACRTGTTGTCTCTGCAGGCTTTACTTGTTGTAAGGAATCATACCCAGTATAAAACTCTGTGTTATTTACTGGAAACACCTGTTACTGAAAGTTTACTTTTAAAAATTGCATTTTATATAAAATTTTCACAGGTCTCCTCTGTGAATTTGGTTTGGAGATATATATATWTTTTTTCTGTCTGGCCTAACTTAAGGATCAGAGTTTAAAAAAGAATTCATTTAAAAAGATTATTTTGTTAACTGAGTGTGACTACTTTGGATAAACAGCTGCTAAATTACCACTAGTCACTGCCAACAACAAAATGTGAAACTTTTGTTTTTCCAGCAGTAACAATGCTATTAAGTTTCTTAAATGAAGACCAGCCTCCACCACTTTTTACAAGGGGGATGTCTGTGTATGCCTGTGTTGAAGAATAGTTGGTTTCTTGGTTTTAGACAGGAAAAGGGGAATGAATGTAAAGCGCCTGAAGATTAACAGTGCTAATTGAGGGAGTTGTTTCCTCTGGGTTTGATTTGTGACTGTGCACTGTGTCTTTGGTGAAGTCATCTCAG